CACACTATATTATATTGTGTCCATTGTACACTATATGATATTGTGTCGTTTGTGTTCCAGGCCACTGCTGTTTCAGACCAGCGAGCTGATAGCCAGCAGTCCAGCTGTGGGTGACCTGATCCCCTACAGCACCCTGCTGCATTTCTTCTTCACCAGAGCGCCATCTGAGCTCAAGTCCCCTCACCAGGCCAGTACACACACACACACACACACACACACACACACACACACACACACACACGTTTGTCTCTTTTGAGGACCATCCTTCCCTAGCCCCTAATCCCAACCTTAACCATCACAACTAAATGCACCAACCTGAATCCAGTTCAAACCTGACCTTTAGTTAAACCCAGTCTTAACCTTCCAACAGTTATACCAGTGATGGGTGGCCAGAGGTCCTCACAATGCAGTTACGTCGTCACCACGGCGGTGCTTTGCAGTGTGTGTGACTATACCTGCTAAACATGTGTTCTCCCCCACAGAGAGCAGAGTGGTCCATCGCCCGTTACTCCCAGTGGCAGGATGATCATCCCTCTGAGAGAGACAGGCTCACTCTCATCAGGTGACCTTCTTATCATTTGCTTATTCCTGTTATAGGTCAGTGTGCTGCTACATGACAGGGAAACCACACATCTAAGGCTCTGTCTGCCTGTCCTGCTAGATCAGGGGTCACTAATAGGAGGACCGCAATCCGGGTTCGGACCCAAACGCCGTTGTATCCGGACCCTGGACCTTAGACATTACTGTGATGTTCTGGACCTTTAATGACTGGACCTCGCTGAACTTTAATGGAATACCTCTGTGCTCGACCCATCCCATGAATAGCTCAGAGAGCACTGACATGATGAACATCGTACACAGACTCTCAGCTCACTGCATGTGAACTGTGGTGAATGATCAGCCTCTGGTGGTGAACTGTGTGTTGCTTGTTGCTAACTCACATTTCTCTATACTGATAACTGATCAGATATTTATCTGAACCAACATGCAGCTCAGCACAACAGTTCATCTCACATCCAGAATGCACTCAAACAAAACGCTGTCAAATGTCCGTATCAGACCAGTAGTCTCAATGCCACCAGTAAGACTGTCCCTCATATTAAGACATAACATCAGTGACAATCCTAAACCAAGACTCCGATACCACAGATTAGAACACGGGCTCTTCTGGGTTCTGCTGCCTGACGGTGTCCCAGAGATGAATCAGAGCTGCTGCAGTTCACTTCATAGTTTCTCTTGTTTTTGCCGTTTTTGAGTCGTCATTCCAAGTGCACAAAATTAAAGTATATTAATCCCAGTAATGCAGTACAGAACTATACATATTCACTATACATACATGTTTAGACATGCTACAGATATAGAAATACAACATCAACCATGTCTTCTGCATTTGTTCTCAGCCACATCACACGTGTGCGTCTCTTAACGCTCCAGGAAACTCTTTCTGTGTGCTGACATCTAGCATGCATTGTGTCCAAGAGGGACCTCTGACCATGTGGCTTGGAATCAGAAAAGAATTCCTCTATGGCGTTGATGGATGGAGAATAAGTTGGAGAAAAAAGAGGCCAAAAAACCTACATTATTATTTTAAGAGTGAAGGAACTATTCATTCCTTAGACCATTGGGAATGGCACTCGTCACCTTTGGGAACTCACCGAAAGCTTGTAAGCTAACCATTGTTGATCTAAATCAAAGACAGATTTAGTTTACCACAATGTTACTTCTCCATGACATTGCAAATAAAAGATATCATACATACTTGTGGCTTCTACAGGAGCATCTGCATCACAATGTCGTAGCTCCTGTCTAGGTCTACCTGGGATGGTGACGATATTATGGCTAATAATCAAAGTACTCGATGCAGAACGTGAATGGGATTTTCACTTCCGGATCCCCACTGCTGAGCTCAATGGAGTAATGTTTTGATGAGCAGGTCCGTGGTAAAAATGGATGTAATCAAAGCAGGGTTTAGAATATAGGATAAAGGAGTAAGGATGCACACAATGCATTATGGGGAGGAACACTTGATGCAAACACAACTTGTGATAATCGTCCCATTCAATGAAAACATTAACCAACTCTAGGGTCAACATGAGTACATCTGCACACACACCTGTTCCTCTGTCCTCTCTGAGACGTGTGATACAATCACTCTCATGGCAAAGCATGCAGTACATCATTAGTTATTACTGGATGAAAACTGTTCATAACCAACAACTGTGCTGTTTCGTCTCTGTTCTCCTTTAAGGGGCGCTCTGGAGGCCTATGTGCAGTCAGTGAGGGCTCGCCAGGGGAAGGAGTTTGCTCCCATCTATCCCATCATGCTCCAGCTGTTACAGAGAGCCACCAGTGGCTCACAGGACATGCGAGTCTGAGGAGGACGACACAGCGTCATAGTATCTGAGCATGAAGTGTGCTCCAGGGTATGTGGAGGCACAGGATGTTGTGGATGTCATTATGCATTCGTACAAAAGGCCTCCATTATTATTTATGACTCTTCCAGCTGAAACGTGATCTTTCATACTATTACTATTCTGACTTGATCAGGACACTTTGTTGTGGAGGGATACATGGACGTGTGTAGATTCTCATGATGAACTAAACATTTGGATTTGCCACATTAACTGGATTTATCTTTGAGTGACCAAAGCTGGAAATCATAAAACGTGTCCTTTTTAATTAGGGGCCACATTTAGATCTGAAGTTCACAATGAATTCTATTTAAACTCTTTTTTTCAGCGCTGTCATTTACATTTTCTGATTCTTGGAAAGAGATGCTATGCGGTACCATGATGGATATTCACACACACAATGTTCCAAGTGGTCCAATGTAGCGTTGGTTGTTTGGAAGCAGGAGGGTTCTCCCTCGTCTCAGACTGCAGCAGCACGGCGGCGTGTTAAAGTACAGCAGGAATCCGCGCTGTGGCCTTTCTTCCCCTCTGGATGCAGCAATAGCCTCCTGCTCATGTCTTTAAAGGACGAAATCCAAAGCTTATTTCGATCGCTTTTTGATTTAGAATCAAATTCGTGACACCCCTAATCATATTACTGACACTAACACTTTATTATCCAGTTATGATCTCTGTGGAAAGCTGAATGCAAAGACTCTCTGCTGTTCGTATGAAGGGCTTTGTTATCCTCACATGGATGCGTACGAGTGTCTCTTCCACAATATCTAAACTGAAGAACCATTCTTCTTTACGTCAATGGATTCAGCTTTCTCCAGACACTGCTGTGTGTAACTCGTGGTGTATATAGTAGTTCTGTCACGTTCATCAATGACTCCTGAGAATAAACGGGGAAATGTTTGCACAACTTTTATTTGTACAGGACTTCATTAGAAGCAGAGGTATGATCTCACACACAGACGTATGACATGAGCGCTTCACAAAGTGGACTCAGACGGGCCACTTCCATTGGTTGGGAGGAGGCTCTTCTGTCAGGGGCTCCCATGGTTTCCACTCAGACATCTTCCTGGACAGAGCCAGCTCACATTCCGCCTGCACACAGGACACACATCCAGGAACGCTTTGATGAACTGATTAAATGAACCCTTCAAGATAAGAATCCATCTACACACACAGAACCATGTTTCCCTGGAGACAAATATACAGAACAAGGTACAAACATAGTGTGAAGTAGTGCAACAGACACACTTACTGTATGATCACCACGTCTAAACTTTAACATGACGTACAACGTGGTTTGTTTAGGCTTCATGTCTAAATGACAACTGGCCCAACATGTTAATGTGCATCAAGAAATGAAGACGTATCGACCTACCTGGAAAATTACTTCTTCAATCTGCCCACAGTTTATCTTCTTCTCCAGCTTCTCAACATCAGCCTCCTATGAAGAGACACACATTGATCATATGAAAACACACACACACTCACACACACTCTCCAGCACCACGAGGGGTTGGCTGGCTCTGTGGTCTTTGGCTTTCAGCTAACATGGTAACCTCTGCTGACTAGTCCCATCACTGGATCAGACTCATGACAGGACTAAATATGGAAGAGACGATCCATAAATCAGAAGATAAAACACTCGCACAGTAGATTATTTATGAGCGGTTCGTTTCTTCTCTGCGTTGGCAGCAGAACACGTACGTCACATATTCATAACAGTTCATAAGACAAACAAGCAGCAACACTCACTGACACTGAATATTATTTTAAAAGACATTTGATTGACCTACTGTAATATTATTCTCTATCTTTTTCTGCTTCTTTAACATATTTCCTTGCAGGTATCACCGCTTCATGTCATATCAAATACTCAGAGCCCTCATGTGAACTAGAAGTGACTGCCTGGCGTTGGATAATGAGAGCAGTTCTCTGGGTTCACAGGGAGTCTAACGAGAGCCACACCGAGTCTACTTACTCACCGCTTTGACGTGGTTGAACCTCTCGCTGACCAGCTGCTCTGTGTACTTCCTGTAGGCTGCGTCCTGCGGCATAGTCTGCAGTGACGCCAGGATCTTCGAGTACAGAATCCTCAGACGCTGAGAGAAGACCAGAGCAGATCAGTCGGTGGCACAAACAGATTCTACTAAAGGCCCTCTAGTGTTTAACAGTGAAGGCTGGTGAGCCATGATGAAGTGTATTTGTGGTGTCATGTGATCACGGTTTGTCACCAACACATCTAGGGTGACAATCCTCACCTCGTGGGGATTGTGGGACACGGCCAGGCCGACCAGGCCGGTTGTCTGGAGGAGAGAAAGAGTCAAACTTCATTCTGACCAACATTGTGGATTTGCTTAGACAACGTAGTTTATGGATACAGCTTTAAGAACATTTAATCATTTAACAAATCAAATCTTTTTTTAAGTAGCACATATAAAACACTCAGCTCAAGTATTGTAAATGCCAACAATCAATCATTTGTATAATTGGACAGAATTGATGCTATGATGTCATGTGGTGGTAGTGATGTGATGTGAATGAGTTAAACTGTTGGATCGACAGACAGTAGAACAATGACATCAATGATCAGTGTTCCACAGCTCAACGAGGCTTCACTAGTCAAGTTACACCTCATCATTTTATACAGACTTTTGAAAGTAGATTGTTACTATTATTTTCATTTTAAACACTTAACGTTGGGTAAATAAATTAGCTCCAGATTCTATGGATGAACAGCAGAGTGTCGTAGTAATGCTAAACTAACTGACCGCTAATTGTAATTATTCCACGTTTACAGTGTGAAGGAGGACTTTGTTATCGTAACATAATGCTTAGCTACTGCTTTAGTCTAACGTAACCAACCTGTGGAGAGCTGTGTTCGGTCTGATCTGGCAGCCTGACACTGCTAACCCAGCTAGCTAACCCAGCGTCTCGTTTTCACTGCGCGTGTGTAACTCAACCACGTTAGTCCAGCTTCCGACAGTGTAGTGCAACAATGACAGTCTGTACTGCATTCTTTACTGCTTTATATCGCGAACATAAAACATGACCTCTACTCGTACCTTTTTCAGCAGCCCAGCCATTCTTCTCTGCAGTCAGGTCGACTTCCGTCCACTGAATATGACGTCAGCGATTATTGTGCTGGGAGACAACCTACAGTAGCATCGGAGGCCCGGTGTCTTTATTGTACCTTCCATATAAATAGTGATTATCCATAGCTTAGTGAAAAGAGGCCTAATTATTATTTCTTAGTTAACTTTTGCAATTTCATATTGTAATATATATTACTGACAAGATCATGTCAGCGATTTATTGAAAAAGCAGTGTTTAGTTTTCTATAATAAACATTTGAGGCAGGATTCATGTTTTGTAATTTGTGCACAGCGTTCTTTGACTTCAGGACAAACCCGTTCCTTATATTATAGATTAAATTAACAGCATGGCTCCCTCTGCTGCCCGTCAGCGGACTGTTTCCTCATTCTTTATATCGTTTTAGCATCTTCCTAATTTCGTCCCATCCATGTCTGACCAGGCCGACGTTCTGCATCACACTGTAAGTAGCACAGGCTTTCATCAAATTGATTGACATTGCAGGCCAGTCACAACCACGTTACATTTTGAAATGTGTCGTGTAAATAAAGACTTCAGACTCAGTGGTTGGAAAAAAAGTTTAATGACATCAAACCAAGCAATGCCAGCTATATGCACATAACCAATATTATCAGTTTTTAAAACATCTATTTCAAATGTTTGGCAGAAGAAAAGACATCTATCTACAGTACGGTAAAAAATTAAAAGTATAAAAATATATTACAAATCTCAAGTATTTACAAAGACAGCTTCTCTCTACATGTGTCTGACTGTCTACAGTTAGTTTTCAGTCTAGTTACCTAAAACAAGCAACATCTCCTACACGCCCTCTGCAACTCAGCACCTAATGCAGAAAACAGTGGTGGCCTTGGACGGCCATGACAAAGAGGTCACTAAACTCTCAGCATCCTCTGGGAGAGGGAGGGGGGAAGAAGAGGAACAAAGATAGAGACGAAGAGGAGACGATCTCCTCCTCCTCCTCCACGTTGGCTTAGCAGGAAGTGACAGTAGAGTTCCTCTGGAGGTGGTTAGAAGAACATCCTACGGCAGAAAGAAGGTTTAGATACTCATCTCTGGTGTTTCTACCAACATCCAAATGCACGCACGCACAGGCACACACACACGCACACACACACACACACACACACACCTGTAGATGTTGGGGTCCAGGAGCACAGCTGTGTCTGTGGGGAGCTTGGACAGATGAACCACCTGGGTCTTCTGCTGCAGTCTGTCGCTCTCATTCACCCACACATCTGGCAGTCTGACACACAGAGAGAAATACATTTACACTGGATCAAAGATCACATCTGGAATGTAGTTCTCCTCACATGCAAAATATGTTTTCTTTTGAGTGAACAGTGGAAAGCTTGATGTTCTCACAAGATTTGCTCTTGAGCTACAATGTGATCTAAAAAAAAGAAGCCAATCACCTCATCTTATCTTCATTCAGCCTTTAAAACAGCAGCTGAATGAACTCAGAAGAGAGTCTAGTCCACTCTCATCCAAACATGCTCTACAGGGGAACTGATGCTCATTTTGCATTTATGGAGACGCATTTCTTTCCTAATGTAAGTCGATGAGAAAAAGTCTCTTCTGGCCCCATTGCCTCACATGACGAGGTCATCACAGTTGAACCACTGTGCGAACGGACTCAGTGACAGTAGTGTGGCTAAGTGGATAGCAGGGCCGTCCTTCAATCAGGGTCGGCGGTTCGATCCCCGGCTCCAGCTCCGCTAGTCGCATGTCGATGTGTCCTTGAGCAAGACACTTAACCCCAAAATTGCTCCTGTAGTTGTGCCTACGGTGTAGAAATGTGGTAGAATCTGAATTGTAAGTCGCTTTGGATAAAAGCGTCTGCTAAATGACTGTAATGTAATGCAATCCATATCCTGGTATTTTGATGGACTGCTGGCGGGACAGAGTGATGAGGAGGACTTACATGTCTTCAGGTGTCCAGTGCAGCAAGACCTTCACTTTCCCAGAGTCCTCTTTCCTCCTGGCTATTACCTGAACATACACAGACACACAGGCATGAGGTACTGCTGTGCTGCACAGCGTCACATGAATTGTGTGTGTGTGTGTGTGTGTGTGTGTGTGTGTGTGTGTGTGTGAGTGTGTGAGAGCCCACCGTGCTGTGGAAGACCACACTATGTCCGTTGCCCAGGCTCTCAATATGCGTTGCTAGGTTGAGGCAGATGGCTCGATGGCGGATGGCGTCCATGGTCTGAGCATCAAAGAAGTCATGAGGTCGGGCTGGAAACAAACAAATAGTTTCAATAATACAGAAATAACAGATTTAAAAATAAATAAATGATCTGACCTAAAACATCAGCCACATGATGTCGTCTCTTTGATGTCAATCACAGCAGCTAGCAGCACTAGCTCCTGAAGTCGCTAAACCTAGCAAGCCACCAAGTCAGCAATGCTGACAGCCACGCCCCCAAAATGATCATCATGAACGTAAACAACCAGCGTGGCTACACAGCCGTCAGGCTAGCAGCGAGTGCACGAAGTAATCTTCGTCATCAATTACAAAGAAACGCAGAGTTCCATGACGGCTTCCTGGTGAAAGCATGTATTCCCTGAAGAACATGCTAAAGAAAAGCTAAAGTGTGAAAGTATTAATAGAGCAGATCTACGATGAGGTCGTCTCCACACCAAACACACAAGTATAGAACTTTCACTCAGCAACAGCTGTAATGAGGTCAGTCCCTGCCTCCTCTAGTCCATGTCTTCTTGGACACTTAACCCCGCATTGCTTAGGTACTGTAGGTTGTGAGATGTTGTATGAATGTTAGAGTCCTGATGGGCAGGTAGCCCTGTCATCAGTGTGTGAATGGGTGAATGACGACATGTAGTGTTAAAGAGCTTTGAGTGGTCAGAAGACATGAAACGCTATACAAGTCCATTTTCTATTTAATGACACGCTACAGTCACAGAGCTCCATGTCCGAGTATAGATTATTAGCAGACCCTGCATCCCATCAGGAGCACAGCATGAGAGTTTAAAAGAGGACTTTGTATCAGAGGTCTGTCCTCCAGAGTAAAGCTTCCTTCTCTCCTAGAGTCACCTGTAGCTGGAGGAGAAACACCAGTGCATAAGCTTTTATCTAGGACTAGAATCTAAGCCTCCACAAACCAGTCAAGCTCTATTTCACATACAAGTTTGTTGGAAATGTCATCACTTCAGCATTTTATTCTATTAGATATTTGTGTGAAATGGTCATAATTGGTGACCTTTGACCACCAATATGTGATCCGTTCATACCGACGTGCACGTTTGAGCCACAGTTGAAGAAATACTCTTCAGGAGTTTCTGAGGAATCAGATTCACAAGACTGAAAACATGAATAAAAATGGAACACCGTGAAAATGTATTTGGATGTAAAGGTGTGTGTGTGTGTGTGTGTTGCGTTGCACTTACGGAGGGAGCGCCTGTGTTTGTTCTTGAGTTTCCTCCTCTTGTTAAGGCCGGCCTTGGATGGAGACTCCTCCTTCACTTTGCCCTGATTGGACACTTTGGAGGAGCCCTGGGAGCTGAAGTGAGTGGGCACGTGACGGGCCAGTCCCCCCTGAGAGGCAAAGGTGGCGTTGCAGCCTCCCACCACACACTGCAGGAACACAGTGAAGTGAGAGGGTAGACAGGGTTACAGGTACGTTTCCACTGTGGTTCATGGCTGACTGGACATCATTGTCTCTGTGTGTGTGTGTGTGTGGTCACCTTGAACGGCTTGTCTCCGCTGTGGGTCAGCATGTGTCTCTGCAGCCAGCTCTGACTGGTGGACGGTGTGTTGTACACCTTGCAGCCCTTCCACAGACACACAAAGACCTGTGGAACACACACACATACAAGCGCACACTGATCAACACACAGAGAGCAGCGGTGTGTGATTACTGTAGAAGAACAAAAGACCATCTATAACATGACAGAGAAGCCAGAGGGACTTTCAAACTTGAGTCTATTGAAGAACTTAGTCGTCAGTATACTCCGACAGAACCACATGTCAGATAGTTAAATAACTTCTCTAAATGTCTTTTTATTCATGAGATCTATCTCAACAGCAAATACAAAGAACACAGCGTGTACATTGTGTTGTTGTTCAATCCACCACGGGTCTTCTAGTTTGCTTAAACGTTCTGGTCCTCCAGATGTGGAGGAATGTTGAGAAGGCTCTTTTAGTTTCTGGGGTAGTTCTGGAGATGAACTCCTCTAGTCCATCACACAGAGAGGATACACTCTAAAGCTCTGCTGCTGCTCTAGTGTGTACTAGAGGTTGTCAGAGGGCTGGTATCAAGTGAAGTTCTCCTGTTAATCAGTGTGCCATTTCAACATTCAGGTTAACTTCAAGTTGAATTTATGACAGATATCTATATACAGTGGGTACGGAAAGTATTCAGACCCCTTTAAATGTTTCACTTTGTTTCATTGCAGCCATTTGCTAAAATCAAAAA